CGTTTCCCTCCAAGGCTCCCGGCCATCGTGCGAGGAGCGAACATTGACCGATACTGGCCCACGGCTGACGGCAGACTGATTGAGTATGACATCGACCGGGTGGTGTATGAAGAAGATTCTGCATACCAAAACATAAAAATATTGCACTCACAGCAGTATGGAAATATCCTCGTGCTCGATGGAGATGTTAGTAAGTGATTACAGCACAGCAGCACATGGCGTGTAAGATAATGATTGTTTGCTTGCTAGTGTGTAAAATCATTTACTCGATTATACTTGCATGACTGAGTTTAGTGGTATTTAAGGTGTCAATGGTTCATAAGTATGGGAGAAACTATTGTAAATGATTCATGTTCTTGCAGACCTGGCGGAGAGTGACTTTGCCTACACCCAAGCCATCACAGGAAATGGAAAAGAGAATTATGCTGGGAAAGAGGTGCTGATACTGGGAGGAGGCGATGGAGGCATCCTTGCTGAGTTGGTCAAACAAAAGCCAAAGATGATCACCATGGTGGAGATATCCTTTATGGGTTCTGTTCTGCTGTTTTGTTTTGTTTTTTTTATTCCTGTATTGTAGCTTTGATGTCCCCCCAGTTTATTCACACACTGTTTTACTCATACTTCTACATCTGCACCATCGTTCCTTAACTGAGCGTCCACATTGACCAGAAGGTGATAGACGGGTGCAAAATGTACATGAGAAAAACCTGCGGGAACATCCTTGACAACCTGACGGGAGACTGTTACCAAGTGAGTGTTGAATACATATTTGTATGTTGTGGGTGTATTTACAGAGGTTAACATCGGTGATCGAGAGACACCAAGCCGGGTTTTAACTGGCTCTGTTAACACTGGTTTTCTGACTGAAAAGAATTATAAAGTCATATAAATAGGACAGGAAGAGAAGCATTAGATATTCAACCAGAGATTGTTATGGCCCAAAGAAGGGACAAACATATTTACAACGGGACACAGGAAACAAAGGTTGGGTTTCTTGAACTTCCATTTTATTAGTGACTTGAATTATCAGGTTTAACTTTTTATAAATGAGAAAGAGAAAAAAAAAAACAACCCTTAACCACCCCATGCCCCAAGAAGTGGCAACTTACAGGTGGACCTGGCAGGTCGGCCAAACAAAACAAAAAGGGTGTGGCGCCAAGCCAACCCTATCCAGGGCCGTCGAAGCCGGTGCCGACACCTGAGCTAAGGGAAAAACACAAACTAAGCCCAAGCCACAAGGGCGAACAAAAACAGGACGGCCGATCCCACCAGGTCAAACAAGAAAAACTGAAACTAAAGATACCAGACTGGCATCAGGGAATCTGACAGCGTGTCAGCTGGAGTCGGGAGCGCGCACAGGTCTGAGGCGGAGCCTGTGAGGTGAGCAGGACTGGAGGCAAGAGTGAGAGCGAGCAAACACTCAGAAAGCCAGCCTGTTTGTAGGCGGAGCAGTAACTCCACCAATTAAATAATAAAACCCAGTAACTAAATATGCTCACCTGGAAATATTTAGATATATACAAAACTAACTTCAACGAAAAATAGCGAGGAAAAAAAAAACTAAACTGAAGGAAAAGGGTGAAAAATGTGGCCTCAGCACATAACAGAGATAATGTCAAAATATTCAAAGTAAGGCAATTAATAAATGTGGAGATGATTATGTATATCTTTGGTATAGAGTTAGAGTGATGGTTAGTATAAAGAATAATTTAACATCATGTAGAACAATAGACAAAGTCGCCAGATACATTAACAGATTTTTCTGATTTTCAGACAAGAGCTAGGTAAGTGTGCAGTGAGTAATCTGCTTCTCTCATTGATCACAGATACTAATTGAGGACTGCGTTCCGTTGCTGAAGAAGTACGTCCAGGAAGGAAGGACGTTCGATTATGTAATTAATGACCTCACTGCAATCCCGATATCCACCGCGCCAGAAGAAGGTTTCCATCCATCCATCCATCCATCTATCTATCAATCAATCTGTCTATCCATCATGGTGTTACAGAAGTGCATCACAGAATAATTATCATTCAACTTCTGCTTTTGTAGACTCTACATGGGAGTTCCTGCGTCTCATCTTAGATCTGTCAATACAAGTCCTGCATCCCAGTGGGAAGTACTTCACACAGGTGAGTTAGGAACCGATTAGTGGGTTCAGTGTAAACGCTTCATATTAGCATTGTGTTAATAAACATTTTTTTAAAGCATCAGTTGATATGAATTTCATGGAAGATGAAGGTGCTTTTTAAGTTTCATTTTTGTATTTCCATTGATTACAAACCTGTCCGTCCCTAAGGCTGATTCAAGCCCGACTCAAACTGCGTTTTCAGAATATCCTGCTGCATTTATTTGATGCATTCATTGTCCAAGTTGTCATTTGGAAAGCACAGCACAGTCATTTGGATATCGTGAGGGACAGAATGGTTGTGTTGTTTGATAGAAAGAATAAAACTGTTTTAAGACCTAAGCTTTTATGTTTTAATATCAAACATAGTTTTAAAAAGGCAAACAGGAATGTTTCATTGTGTGGGAAAGCAGCTAACAAGAGGCACTGGAACACAACAGTTCCACTTACAACCCTCTGGTTACGGCATGAAAAAAATCATTCGCAGGTGTGTTTCATTAAATGTATTTTTCCTATTGATCATCAGGGGAACAGCGCGAATCTGACAGAGGCACTGAGTCTGTATGAGGAACAGCTGGGAAAGCTCTCGTGTCCCGTGGACTTCTGCAAAGAGGTGGTGTGTGTGCCCTCCTACTTGGAGCAGTATCCTTTTATCAGTTGCAAACGATCAAATGCAGATCAAAGAACATGGCACAGCTGACAAAAATAACCTCCTTAGAGGGCTTTTTATTTCAGTGCTCCTGCTATAGTTTGTAGCTTCTTTTAGTAGCTCTGGCCCTTACTTATACTGGTAATAACAACCTTGTGCTCGACAGGTTCTTTACTGTGAACATTACAACCTCTCTGGTTGCCTGAAGGGTGCTTTTTTTTCTTTTTTTTTTGTTTGCCTTGTCAAGATTTGTTGTTTCAGTGTGTTCTCCGTTACTTTGGAGGGCCCAAGGCCATTAGAACTGATGACTACAAAACTGAAACTAGAACAGGTTTGTAAATACTGTTTGCTTAAAGGTTCACATCTGATTTTTATTTAAGGTCAGAGATTTGGCATTTACTCAGTTTTAATCACCTCACTTATAAGTTTTAAGCAACTTTCATTTAAGTTTAAAACAGTCAAGATAGTCAAAAAGTTTTGAACCAAATGGGGGAAAACAAAAATAGCCCTGTTTGCAGTGTGAACTCGTAGTTACAACACAAGCATCACATCTATTGTAATTACTACAGCATGAACACAAGCTAGACACAACTCAGCCAGTTTTGGACTCAGACATATTCGTACATTTACACGACTTGCAGAAACTGTGTACAAATCTGTGTCTACTATTTCGGTGCTGATAGCAAATCCTCTGGTGTAATGTTAATGCGTGAGCTCAGCAGCAGCCACACACAGCACTGGTTTGCAATAACAAAAATGCCAACGATAGAGGAATAAATAAAATCACATTCATAAGAGAACCGGATGACTGTGAGTACTCTACAGTTATCACGTATATTTAACATAACTAACAATTATGTTCGTAAGACGAGGTATGAGCTCGTGTCTGGACCGACTTGAAGCAGACCGTAGGAGCTAAAAATATCTGTTAGAATAAAACAATATGCTGCTGTGTTTTGTTGTGTTCTGTCCTTAATCGTATCGCATCAGATGGGTCTTCTACACCACATGGAAGAAGTAAAGACTCTCCAGTTTTCTCTGCTTTAATTCCCAGCAGCTGGAATGTGAATGCTCCTCTCCTTTCTCCTGTAGCCTTAAAGCTGTGCTTAGACTGAGCGTGACGTGAAAATAAGAGGCAACACAAAGTTTAGATAAATTCATTACTACAGGGGATTTCCATTTTTAAAAAAGAACTGTAATTCCTGAGTCTGAGTTGCTGATGCTCGCACAGGCACACTCCTCGTCACACTCGGCAGCCTTTGCCCGTTATGATTATATTATAGTGAGCTACAGCTGAGTGACTGCAGCAAACAACAGCACGGCAATCAGCTGTTTTTAGTTAACAAGCATGGACTGCAAAACACTCCCGACTTAATTTGCCCGTGTTGCTTTGAATGAATCAGCATAAGAGTCACTTTGAATCCAGTCTGAGCACATCTTAAGGGGAACACTGACAGTTTTATCATCCCCGCTCTACTATCCCCATTCCACCCTTCTCTTCCTTCCTGTGTTTTAGTTGTGTTTTGTTTGCTACAACTTCTCAGTTGTATTTCATTTATGTTACTTGATTTAAACTGTCCATTTGCATGTCCTCTGGAGGAACTGTTAGATGTTGAAACACTGATTTGATACACTGATGATATGGTGTAACTCATCTTACCATAGGTGTGTGTGTTCTCTTGTTTTATTTTTTTTTCTTTAATCTTGCATTATGAGCTCAGATCTTGTGATGCCTAGGCACAGCCTACCTGAACTGAGTCGCTTTTAAGCTTCATGAAGCTTTATTTTTGTTACTGCCACTCAAATGTGATCTGATTCTTTCAGGTTGAATGGAGGCAATGTGATCAAGCCCAGTGAGACTGAAGTGTTTTAAGTCCAAATGTGTTTTAAAAGGGAAACAATTCCTCCACGTTAACGCCACCTTCTGTGCTCGTGCTGTCTTTATGTCATGTTTTATTTGCACCTTTGGTTTCTCCTGATATACTTTAAGTTTTTTTAAGACTATATTAGGTGCATGTAAAGGACAGTGAATGTAGCTTGCATATAAAGTACACAGCACATTTGATCGACCCTGTGGGACATTTATTTATTCATTATAATTTCACCAAATGCTGTTCTGTCCTACTTGAGATAATTTTGTGACCATCTACAATTAAAGTGTGTTGGGGGAAAAATGTCTCGGCTGTTTGACGGTCGTCTTTTTCAAGTTAAAAAAAAGTCACAAAATTTTAATAACAAAAAATGCTTTATTGATACATGGATGGACACGTTTATTGAGGACTTAATATTTAAAGTGCCAACCGGTACAACAGACTTCCAAAAATAACAGGCGGGACGGTCAAAATCTTTTTTCATCATGTCTTAAAAATTGAAAGTATTGGATTCATTGCTGTTTAACAGAAATTAATATGTATCTTAGGATAAACCAGTAGACCTTAGCTGAGACTAAAACACGCCAAGCACGAGACTGTTGCTTCTATAAACTATGATTTATAGGATAATTCCTTGCAACACTTCTGTCTTCAAAACTTTAGCAAAACAAAATCTAATATTTGGCCCTTCATGTGTAGTTTTTTTTACTTGAAAGCACTGTTAAATAGTTCTTCCTTTTGTGGTTGAGGTATTTATTGAGCTGTTTTGTATTTGCAGCATTTGCCTGCTGTAGTCCATCGAAACATGAAGAAATTTTAACACTGCTAAAAACAAAAAAGTCAGTTTTATTAGCTCAAAATCTGCTCTTAGAAATGTAGATTTATGTGCAGCATACATTGGGTTTAACCATGTCTCTAATCTAACATATCGGACTGGACTTTCACCAACTTGATAAACATCAGTGCATACAATTTACCTTTGGAGTATAAAAACCTATAAAGATAACATCTCTGTTCAAACAATAACGATTGTCCAGGTTGGTTGTAAAGGTACAATTAATAAAAGGATAAAGGTAGAATATAAAAATCAAGTTTCATGTGGAATGTAGGATTTCTACTGTCCCATTACAAAACATTTAGCTGATACAGTACATGCTACGTGCACAGAGGCGATACATAAATTACACAGTTATACAAGTATTTACAAATAAGTGCTGGTAAATAGACTGGTTCAGTCGTATTTGCATCAGGACGGTTGTGGGTTTCTGTACTGGCTGTTGATCTCGTTGAGGATCACGTCCATACTGGGATCTTCATCTCCTGTGATTACTCTGTCGTCAAATGGGCTCACTGTAACACAGAACTACTGTTACTGCTTATCTGACAACAGATATTTTTGAAAGGGCTACAGAAAAATAAAGGGGGGCACACTAGTGAATCCTTTAAGGCCCTAAAAGCTTGTGTAAAGTTTTTGGATAAGTAATCATCAATTCACCTGACTTGAGATTTTAAAACCACTCCTAATGTTAACATCTTACTGTCAGGAGGTTGCGACAATCACAGTTTTAAAATGTTTCCTCTTACCGACGCCGTGACTCGGCTCTGAAGACTCGCTGACGAGGAAAGTAGAGGAGCTGGTTGAGTTGTTGTAGTTGTTGGAATTTGAGGAGTTTGAGGAATGAAGAGATGTTAGTTTGGTCAGGGACGATTTCTTCACAGTCTTCTGTGTCGCAGTGCGACTCCATTCTGTAAAAAAATATAAATTCCACGTGATCGAGGTTAAAATGTGGTTAATTACAATCCTCATGCAGAAACTTAAATCTTTCACTTTGAAGTACAAGAATTTTAATCATACAGGTTTCTGGCCAGACTGGAGCAGCAGTGAAATGTAAAGTGAACATTACTAACCCGAGTTCTCTGCTAGTCTCATCTTGCCACAGCACAGGTAGGTCCTCCACTGCCTCCTCACACTTTCCTTCACCGCACAGTGGAAGACAAATATGAAGAAACCTGCAAAGCAATTGTAATTTAACAAATCAGGGGAACAAGATGATGTCTGCAAAACATGTGACATTTGGACAAAATGAAGGCAAACTTACAACATTTTGTGTATTTTGTTATACAATCAGGTATTACGACTGACATTGCAGGTGCCCTGACCTGCAGTCATATCTCAGAAGAAATTGGTTTAGATAATCCAACTAAATGTTGGATTATTACAGGCTGTCAGATTTAGTTTTTGGCCCAGACTGACTTCATTGTTGTAATGCTACACTGTCACTTCACCAAAACTACACACTAAAAATCACTAGATTTAAAAATCAAATCGATGACGGTCACAACACACTAAAGTTAAAACCTTTAGACTTTAGACATTGTTAGCTGAACGAAACTATGTTCACATGATGTTTAAAATTACATGTTAATATTAATCAATAGCATATAGTCATATAATGCATATATGTAAGTTTGCCATAAGTTTGGGTAAATAACACAACAAAAATGCAAAAACAAAAAAAACTTTGAATGGGTAGTTTTGCACCCATTGGTCTGAAGTTGTTTCAACCTGTCTACTCTTACCCAGTCTTAAATGTTCCCACTATTACACCCAAATTAGTCAACTCACCTTGTAAGGAGTTAAAGATGGCAAATAGGTACATGAAAGCCAGGTTAACTGGCCCCCAAGCAAAAAAGGCGAAGCCCCAGGTGAGGCCCAGGAGGATGGTTATCCCCGCCATACTGCGCACATCCTGCAGTGTGGTTCGGTGCTGAACATTGTGAGGGTTTTGCCGTTTTATCCGGCACAGCTGGACCAACACGACGATGAACATGACGAAGTTGAAGAGAAAAATGACACAGAAATAGGCCACGACGGCCACGTAGAAGGCGATGTCATTCTTCAGCCAGCAGCTGTGGGAAAGGACAAGGACGGGAGAGAGGTCAAGGGTTTTATTTTGAGCTGATTGATTTCATATGGAGCCATATTTGTTTGCTTTTTTTGGATTTTGTGCAGAATGATGTGCAAATCAGCCTTTGGACAGAAGACTCACAATTCATCAGTCGTGCCATCAGTAAACCTTCCATAGGAGACAAGACCGTAGTTATCTTTGTCAATCGCAATGACAATAATGACCACGATCATCGGGACGCCCCAACCGACCAGCGAGAACTTCAGCATGTAGCGCGATATGTAGCTGTTGAAGACTTTGACCAGAGCCAAGTACATGTGGACGGCCTCGAGTCCCATCCAGGTGAAGGCAACCAGCAGGAAGTAGTGAAGGAACCAGGCGGTGGAAATGCAAAGGCCCACAGAGTCTGGATAGAGAGCCAGCCACGCGTCCACCAGGAAGACCAGGTTCAGCAACAGCAGGGCCAGGCACAGCTGGATCAGGATTTTAGATGGAATGTCCTTACGAAGCTTCCTGCAGGGTTGATGTGGTCCAGACAACATAAAAGAAACATCTCAGTGAACTATTCTTAGTAAACAACAGACTCAGAGTTAAAAAAAAAGGCTGTGAAAACACATCCGTCTCTTTCTAGTTCTTCATATTTCACTGCAAGTCACAGCCTGACATCTACTGTAGCAGTGACAAACAGCAGCCAGCTCCTTGACCAGAAGAAAAAAAGACTAGGATCCAATAAATAACTTGATCTATCACGTTCTTGTGGTCAGAAACCAAACAGTTAAATTATAGATGAGGATCTATATGTCAGTAACGACATCAAAGCTGTACTAAATCCTTATTCGGACACCTCAAAAACACTGCGAAACTGAGAAACTGAACGTCCAAACAAGATCTAGAGAAAAGTATTCATGCTTTTATTACTCATAGAGTGCATTTGTTACTCATTTAAATTGCTGCTGCTAGAAGAGAGAACTCATGACTCCAATTCTCAGATCCCCGCACTGGATTCTAGATAAAAACAGAATTGAATTTAAGGCCCTACCATAAGTTTCTGAATAATCTAAGTTCAGACCAAATACGGTGAAGTCATGTTTCATCATTATGCTGCTAACTGCTGGAATCAGCCTCCTGGTGAAACTTCAACTTGCTCCAAGTGTTGACATTTTCAAAAGCAAGCTAAAGATTTATTTTTCCATATGTTTTTATTTTTTCTATCTTTTGTATTTTTCTGCTGTTAGTGAATGAATTTTAAATATTCTATAAAAATTTGTTTGCACTTTATTCAACTTCCCTGTGCTGTTTAAGATGCATTTAATTTAATGTTATCTTGCTCTATTTTCTATCTTATTGCCTTTGCCTAATTTGTTTG